CAGTTCCTCAAGCTGGCCAGCAGTGATGTGAATCTCACAACTTGTTCAAAGTGCTATGTCTGAATTAGCGTAACATACGTGTACAGGTACAAAAAAATCATTTTAAATTACGGCCTCATTGCTTTTGCTGCTTATTCCTCCTTTTTGTTTACTGTATTTTATTTATAGGTGTTGATTTTAAAATCAAAACAGTAGAGCTAAGAGGAAAGAAAATTAGATTACAAATCTGGTAAGTAAAACAAAAATGCAACCAGCAATATTTTTTTAATTTTGTGTTTCTAGCATGGATCAAAATGCCTGTCTAATATGATTAATTGTTATAAGCTGGTTTAGCTCTTATCCATCTGCTCCTTTTATTTTCCTCATACGACTTTAAAAAGCCCAAATGGCTGTTTCAGAGAGGATAAGGTTACAAATGTGATATTTCTATATGACAAGAATGACAAGGAAGTATAAAAGCTTTCTTATAGAAAACTGAAATCAGCCATCAAAGAAATAGCATAACAGTAAAATCAAATTAAGCTGATTTCACGCACGTGTTCATTATAATAGGAGGAAGATGCTAGACGGGAGAGAATATTTTTTGATTTCAGTTCCCTTTACTTCATGTCAAAATACATGAAGTGTATTTTGAACTGTTTATCAGAAATTTCTTGAGTAGGTGCCGGTTCTTTGATCTCGCATGTAACCACATAACAAAAAGCATCAGCTCTCCCAAATTAAATATTCTATTTTAAGTAAATGGTGCCAAGGAATAGAATAATCCCTTAAAACAAGACTGTATATCTTGATAGTACAATATTAATGTCCTGCTTTGGAAAGCTTATTGTTTGACTGAGCTGCTATTCTGTTCACGAGCAAGCTATATGCTGCTCTATAATCATTGCCAAAGCGGTATTATTTATTAATTAATTAAGTTTAAGTTTATAGTACTAGAAATTTGTTAATCCTGAGGGGTTCTCCTTGTTATACATGATAGAAAGATGCATATCGTTGTTATGAGAGAATAAACCAGCTATGTTAATGTACATTCTAACCCAATAAAATATCTAATAGCTGAGCTTAAGTTGTATTAACAGTATTTGTTGCATAACTGGCATTAGAGATAATCTGGTAGAGCTGCTAATATCCAGTAGAAAAAAAATCTGAGCGCATTGATTGTTGAGATAACACCATTGGGACGTTATGGTAGTATTTGATATTTTACATAGATGCAGTGAATTCAGCTTACTAACTCCTCTTGGCAGGTCACCATCAACTCTGTTTGTCGCATCATGTGTTTGTCTTGCTTCCCTATGAGTTAACTGCTGCTTCATCTTTGGTATCATCAGTCACCTAACACTACAGTGTTACTGGCATGTCTTCATCTCTCATCTGTATTCCTGTTTGGAAACCTATGACCACAGGGCTGGCAGTTGAGCCAGTATTTTTAGCCAGGGCCTACTGAAGCTGACCGAGGTAATGCAAATATTTTTTCTGGAGATGTTGTCGAAAATGTGTATAGCTTGTCAAACTTTATCTTAGAGTTGATTGAGTTATTTCTCCATATATTAAGAATATCTTTTGTAGACTTCCTGTTTGAAATGTAGTGAGTTGTTAAAGTGTGACTCTTACTCAGCAACTGAGGCCTGCCTTAAATGATGGTCATTTAGAACATAATTCAATATAGAAACAAAATAGAAGAGAAAAACTAGTTTTACATCTTTGAAACACATTGATCATATACATTTGGAAATTAGAAGGAAACTCCAGTACTGATTACAGCCTCAAAATTACACATTGTTATTATCATGTGTTTGATATAATTTACCTAGGAGCTCTTGAATATACCTATAAAATCACATTGAAAAAAACTTGTTAAGAATGATCTCTTTTTGCTGATATACGGTGAATTCCTTCATCAGATTCCTTGGTGCTATGCCTTTCTATTGAAAAATTACTTGGGAGGTACGGGTCTTTACATTTAAGATAATATTAAAGGTTATGAAATCAAGAGTTCAGTTAGGGAATGTCAGAATCAAGGTTACCTATACATCCCTAATTCCAGGGTCCTGTGAATAGGCATTCTGATACAGTCTTTATTTGTGTGATTTACAAACATTTTTTTCCTATAGGATTCTGCCTTAGTGCGTGGCTATACCTTGGGTAATGCACAACATTCAAACCTTGCAGTGACCAAATAGTTATTTATTCTCCTCCTGGATATTAGGAGTGTTGCTTGACAGCAATATGATGTTCACAGACGTTTCTGAATTTATCTTCACAATACTAATGTCATTAAATCTGTACAGAGAACCTCAGTTCTGTCACTTCTTAACTTGTAATGCTCAACTTTGCCACTCTAACTTTTAAGTTATTTTAATCTAATTTTCCTTAAAAAAACAAGAGTATGTAAGCACAGTTTCTTTTGCAGTTGTTCTAGCCTTGAATTTGCAGCATCAGCAGATTTTAGATGGTTACATTTATAATATAGACTTCTGTCACCTGAATTAACAGGTTAACAGCAATAGTAGAATTTATTAATTAGACTCTAGAGGGGACTAATTCAACCTTGATGGTGAATTTCATTATCATGTGCAGACAGCAGAGGAGTGTATGGATTGACAGAGTCCTGGGTGCAGTTTGAGGTTCAGTAGGGACTGTGCTTCCGTGATCATAGATCCTTTTTGCCTTTATCCGTAGCCTATCTCTGCTTGTCTTTCCCTGCTCATATCCATTTCCTAGTCCTCTGTTATCACTAGCTCTTCTTTCCTTATCTGCTCATTTTTCACCCCTCTATTTTCCAGGCATGCAATAGCCTTCCCTTTCTGTCTGGACACTTGCTGGAGAATATTAAGAGGAAAAACTGGGTCAGTTGTTACTCTTTCTGCATCTAAATGGTAATTTCCAAGCTGTATTAGAGGACTTTTTGGAACTTAAACAATTACCATGTAAGCCTCCACATGACTACTCTGGGTGTTCAGTAAGCTATATACTGGTATAGTGCAGGGGATGGGCAATTATTTCAGGCAGAGGGCCACTCG